TACGTACATACATACATACATACATACATACATACATACATACATACATACATACATACATACATACATACATACATACATACACACACACACACACATACATACATACATACATCAAATATTTCCCAACATAAAGTATGCAAGAAAAGAACTAATTAAATTGATGTTTGATAACCAAGTGACAATATCAATCGTACCAGATCAGTATACCATGTAAGAACTAAGTTTATTCAAGTTGACTGTCACTCTGTCCAGAAAAGATCCTATCTAGACACAACGTCACAAGATATGTCAGCGTAACATCTTGAAAAAATCTCTCTAACATCCTAGGACAAAATATATTTGGAACAACATCGATGTTTTGATTTATAGGCTCCATCTTGAGAGTGTGTATGGAGAATAGCTCAAGTTTCTACTTTCCTGATAGAATGACATCATTGTTTGGCTCATAATGGCAGCACAGCTTAGCTCATAATGACATCATAATAATTAGCATAAACAAAGTTTGTAAGTGAAGTATCAGTTCTATCTTAATCTGATTAAATTCTCTCCTGCTTTAACAAGTTTGATTCTACCCATACCATTGAATCATCTAACTAACAAACTTCCAGCTTCTAATGTGTGGTTATGGTACCATTTTGATTTTATAACTTCTTACACCTATATGCTCCTTTGCAAGAGAAAAATGAAATACAGTCCACTAGATGTTCACGCAGTTCAAAGTAATGAATTTAAGCATCCAGAAAAGAGCTTAGTCAAGGAATGAAATCTGCCATTGTTTTCTCAACATTTTCCCAGCCTATTAACCATTTAGTCTCTATTACTACTACAATTCTAATGGAAATATCCATCTAACTTGATGAATGGTGAACAACTGCATTTTCAACTTCGGAAAAATGTAAGGATAACAGAAGTTAAATGGATATGGCAACAAAAAGTTACACACCAAGGCGGAAAAAGTATGAGAACACCGTGTTTTTAAAGCAGATATCCTCAGCAGCCAATACCCATCTTGCCAATTTTGCATCACAAGTTGGAAACCCTTTGAATCCCCACATCACAGGATCATCCAAGCTGAAAAAAATGCCAAAGAAGAATCATAAATGCTCTATCGCTGGAAAATAGGAGCCCAAAGAGACCCTAGAACCCTAAAATCGTTAAAAAAATGTGAGACATTGGGGGAGACCGGTTGATAAATATGATATGCGAACATGAACGAAGAACATACTAATAGAGGCAAATTGAAGACTAGCTGACTAACGTGGACATGTGATTGCTGACGGTGATGAGAGGGATCCCCTGAGGGCGAGAGGTGACGAGGCGGAGGAGGGTGTCGGCGTTGTGGACGGTGGTGGTGTTAATCAGATTGGCCACGGCCTTGGCAAAGCAGCCCACCGCCGCGATAACTACCTTTCTTGGCACGCCGCCCAGGTGGTTTCCACTCGCCGCCGACTCCATTATCCTCCTCGCCATTATTATTCCGTTGTCCTCCAGTCCTCCCCCCGCTCCGCCTCCTGCCTCTCAGTCACAGAGCTAAAGTCTGCGGTTGGAGCGCTATATTCTAACCTACGAACCAATTTATTATTTGCAATATTGATGATCCATCATCCATTCTTGGTGGGATCAGGGCAGGCAGGCAGGCAGACCCCCACCCCTCAATTTTGGTTAACATTCAATGTCACGGGGTGCAATTAGGTTATCTCTAATGTTTGTCATTGTAGATTTGTAGCCACCATTTCATTCATTTCACAAGTGTAAATCATAGTTTTAAAAATCAAATCAGCTATTAAATCAATCAAGCTACTAAATCAATCAAGATACTGGTTTACTGGTTGAACCAAATAGGCTCTTTTGGGTTTGGAAGAGAAATGAGGACCAATTGGCTTGCACGGAACAAGACGACAAGCACCATTTGGGTAGGGGATAGCGACAGTGTTTACAATTCCTTGAGATGGGGAAGAAACACCACAGATGTAATTACATTGTGGGTAGAAACACTGCTAGAGACTCAATAACTAGTTCAAAAAATGGGCTAAAAAACCCAGAGTCAATAGAGGGCATGTTGAAACTTAGATGAAAAGAGAATGAGGACAGAACCATTGGTATTCACAAATGACAATCTTCCCAACTTTTAGGGACCACACTGGGACGCAATCATGATCAATGTGCATATAAAGGACTTGGTCATAGAGAAGACCTTGGTAGATTCTGACAACTCTGTAAATACTATATATATAAACACCTTCAAATTTGTAAATATATAGAGGACAGACCTAAGTAATATCCTTACTTTACTTGATGGTTTTACGGGAGACTCTATCAAGGCCAAGGGAGTAATTGCTCTACCAATTGAGATGGGAGATACTGGGAACGTTACACGATTGGATATAGATTTTGGGAAGACTGGTGCTAGAGGACCTTCTATGTGTGATGTGGCAGTGGCATTTGGCCCTGAAGTTCGAAATCCCAACCATTGTCGGCATAGCCCGCAGAAATCAGAAGCTATCCCAGAGCTAGTACATAAGTGAGACAAAGACAGTAATCAAACTTGATACTTGAGTGAAAGAGATTACGACCCAGTTACTCAGATTACATCTCGTCTCGGACATGCACTGGTACCAACTAGATACCTTATCAACTATAAAAATTTTAAGGAGGAGGGCAACATTGATCATTTTAAAACACTATTCAAGGGTTCCAATCGTGTTTTATTGAGACAAGCCATACACCTCTATCTCTCAATAGTTGTAGAAACGATTTAAGTCAAATTATGACTCCCTCTTATCACGTCTAAAAATCCACTTTCATGTTTGTCTTTATTGGCTTGAAGACGCCATTCAGTTCAAAGGGGTTGTTATTGTTCGGTGACTTCTTACACCTTTTGTCATCGACCAATTTATAAAATGATCAAGGTTTTGTGGCATTCAATTTGTTCAAAATTGAGAAAGGGCTCATTCTAACTTGTTCGAATCACTTTGCCATGTGTTTGAAGGCGAGGATCGCATGGTTCGTTCTTCTCCTACTAATACAACCACCATTTCCCCATAAAAAGATCAATAATTAGTTAGTGTTTGAATAAGCGATGCTTAGTAAATCAACAAAAATAAGTTGAATCTCAATTCCTAATATCCTATAGTATCACTTTAGACAATGGATTGAGAGAAAGATAAATAAAATGATATTGATTCAAAGTGAGAGCTGTCACTAATACTTGCACAAACATTGAGAGAATGTGTCAAAAGTCTCGTGGTCCAGCGTCATGATAGTAACTCTCTCATATGAGAGGTCACAAGTTTAATTCCCAGCAAGTGTAATAACTCTACGTGCTTGTTGAATTAATAAAAATATATGAACGGATATTATATTATTATAGAGTTACTATTATGGGGGGCGGTTCGGGTGACATGAACCCCGATTAGGGTATCAACGATGCACCGTTCAAAAATTGATGGTTCCTACCCATCCTAATCCTCTCGGTAAACCCCCCACCCCGGCCCGGCCCGAACATACCTCCCCACCTCCGTCAATTGCATGCCATAAGATTTAGTTGACTTTTGAGTTAAATTTTGACTACAAAATTAACTAAATCGTGTGGCATGCAATTGACGAGATGTGAGGGTATGTTCGGACCGAGCTAGTGTGAATGTGTGATGGGGTGAGGGGGTTATCGAAGGGGTTAGGGAGGTAGGAACCATCAATTCTTTGAATGGAACATCGTATGAATTTCAGATCATCATGACATTGAATCTCAATGTCATAGGAACCAAGGCGTAATACTCCCTATGTCACTAAATATATTTCACATTTGCTTTTTCAACAGTTGCGGAACCTTTTGTTTATTTCTACATTTTCATTGGTTATTTGATAAAATAAAATATTCTTGACACATCTTATTTCGAAGACCTTTTTATGTAGTTTTTTGATATGTAAATTTTATTTTTTATTTCAATACCAAAATCTAAATAAAATAAATTGAAAAAATTTGATATTTTATCTCAGTTATAGAAATGTGAGATATACTTAAAGAGAGAAAGAATATTATTTATGAAAAATATGTTACGTAGTACTCCCTCCGTCCCTAAATATTCACAACATTTGCTTTTTCAGCAGTGTCGAGAACTTTTGTTTATTTCGACGTTTTCATTTATTATTTGATAAAATAAAATATTCCTGACATCTCTTATTTCGAAGAACTTTTTATGTAGTTTTTTTATATGTAAATTTTATTTTTTATTTCTTTACCAATATGTAAATAAAATGAATTGAAAAAACTTAATACTCCTTCCATCCTAAAACTTTGTTCCCAGAGCATTATTCCAACTTCATGGTAATTTATATTTATTTATGTTTTTTCATGACCTATATGATAAAGTAAAATATTTTTGTCACCACTTATTTTGTTGAACTTTTGATGTAGTTTTTAAATATGTATGTTTTATTTTTTATTTCTATATCAATATTTAAATAAAATAGATTGAAAAAATTTGTGATTTTTCTTCGTTTTGCGCAACAGGAAAAAAATATAAGACGGAGCGAGTATTTTACTTCGAAATACAAATGTGACAAATAATTTAGAACAGAAAGTGTATATTGTGATAGAGTCATTAATATTAAAAAAGGGTGAGGGAATGTCATTCATCCCCATCCAACCACAATAATTAGCGAAATTAATGCGTGACATAAAGATATCAGTACAAAACCCCATTATTTCCGCATTGTTGTACTGTACACAGAGTCAGTCACTGGTCACCGCCTTGGCCCCCATCATATACATCCAATTACTATATATATACACACCCTCCGTACTCTTCTTGGTCTTACCCTGTCTGACTGTAGTTATAATCGCCGGTGGAAGATCGGTGCCGGAGGTTAGAGAGAGAGAGAGAGGGGGGAAATATGAATACGAGTAAAGGGGGCGATTCCTCCGGCGACGGTGGCGATTCATCATCCTCTTCTGCTGAGTATTTGAAGCATCTCAATAAGATATCGCATAAGATCTCTAAATCTGTCCGGAAGCCTCCGGTTTACGAGAATCGCAGTTTACAATCTTCTCAGTTTGAAATCAGGGATCTGCAATCGCAGCCGGCTTCAGCGGCGGCGGAGGTGGCGCATAGTCTTCTACAGCAGCAGCAGCACCATCCGGCGCCGCCTCAGCAACAGCCGCCGGTGTATAACATTAACAAGAGTGATTTTCGCGATGTGGTTCAGAAACTCACCGGATCTCCGGCGCACGAGCGGATATCGACTCCGCCTCCGATCCAGCACCCCAAGCAGCAGAGTTCGCGGCTACAGCGCATTCGCCCTCCGCCGCTTGCCCAAATTGGCAACCGTCCGGCTTCTCTGGTTCCGGCCAATCCGAGGCAGGCCGGAGTAGGGTTTGTCTGCGGACAGCGCCCCGCTCAGGCACAGCCTCTTTCCCCTCTACCACCGTTCCCGGCCGTGCACGCGGCGGCAGAGTCGCCGATCTCTGCCTACATGAGATTCCTCCAGAATTCTTTTAACGGAACAGGTCTTGACTCCAAGCGGTTCTCATCCGGCCCTCCCCCACATGCTCCTCTTGCTTCCCCTAGGTGGAACGGCCTGGCTCCTCCGCCGCAGCATCACCCACTTTTTCCTCCACAGCAGCAGAACATTCCGCCGCCAGCATCATCATCTTCCGCAGCCTTACAACAATATCCGGCTATGCCATCTTCTCCACTGCCCTTCAGCTGCCTTCCTTCCCCTAGATCGCCCTGTGCCTTGCTATCCCCAAATCTGCTGCATTCCCCAGTGGGTCAATTAGGGTTCCCACAGCTCCCTCTGTCACCCACAGTTCCTCTTTCTAGCCCAACATGGAAGGGTATTTGAATAATTACAGTCCCAACTCCCAACACAGCAAAAAAGGTAAACTTTTTAGGAACTTAAATGATGTTATCTTTGTTGAAACATACTAATAGCAGTAGTCTGGAATATGTACATTTGCAAGGTGAAAATGTTGAATTTTGGCTATATAGAAATTTCCATTTTCTGTAAATGTATGCTTAATTAATGAAGAGAAACATTACATTTGTTCTTCTCTGCCGAACATATTTATATTTCTGGGATTTTTTTCTTATCCCTTTCAGAAGTTCATCCTGTGGATTCCAGATATAGAAAAATGTGTTTTCTTATCCCTTGGACGTTCCTTAACACTGTCGGGCCTGTTTGGGAATAGCGTTAGAGATTAGCGTTAGCGTTTTGGATAAAATTTTAACGGTGCAGATCGCTTTGAAAACGCTAACGCTAAACGCTGCCCGTAGATAGCTTTTTCAAAACGCTAACGCTAATCGCTAACGCTGTTCCCAAACAGACACGTCATATAGTTTGTATCATTACCATATTCGGATAAAATTGATCTGAATAGCTAATTTATATAGCTCAACCCTTACTTGGACCTGTTAGGGGAGGCCTTTTTAAATTGTTTTTCGTGTTATTAATTAAAATGTTTCACGATATACATTTTGTAGTAAACCAGAACAGCTCATTTTAGAAATTTCTTGATATACGTCTATAGCATACTTACCCGAACTAATGAGTA